AAAGCAGATACTGGGAAAGCAGAGTCTATCTGCTGGCAGGAGTGAGCATTACTACAGTCAGCATGGAAGTCAGTGCAGAGGTTCCTCAACAGACAGAGAACCAGGACGACCATGTGACCCTGCTAGTCCACTCCTGGGCATATACCCAGAGAACTCAAATCCTACCATGGAGATATGTTCATATGCATGCTTATTGCTATTTTATTTATCATACCAAGGAAATGAATCCAACCTAGGTATCCATCGATAGATGAGTGGATAATGAAAATGTGCTAATATACAAATGGAATATTATTTATCTGTAGAGACAAATGAAATAATAACATTTGCAGGGAAATGAACGGACTTGGAAAGTATAATATTTAGTGTTGACCCAAACTCAGAAAGATACGGATCCTAACCTACAATGCATACATGTATAGTTGTAAGTTGGGGGCATAGCATAGAACTTCGAAAGGAGACCAAACCAATGATGGGATTAGATTATGGGAAGGGATAAAATACAAGCGAGAGTACACGTGTCATGATAGAGTAGAGAAAGCTTTATTTTTCTCTTAAAGTTTCAACTCTGTAGTAGACTTTTTGTGTTTAATAAGTGAATAGAATGTAATTGATAGTGGTTAGGGAGATGTCTCAGCAGTTAACATTGGCCACTCTTCCAAAGCACCCAGGTTCTAGTTCCGCATGGTAGCTGACAACCATCTATAACTCCAGTCCCGGGGGATCTGATATCCTCCTCTGTGGGCACCAAGCATGTCTGTGGTGCACAAACATGTCAAGAAAAACCACCAATATACATAACATAAAATAAAGTAACTGATAAAGAAAGTTCGGCACCCTGAGTGATGCTCCATTGCTTCGGAATGGCCATTTTCACTAGAGAGAAGTCCACTGAGATGTATGGAGCTTGGGATGGGACACATGTTTGAGTAGCTTCCTTAAACCCCCTGTATGAGGATTTTGTGAGTTAATTAGAATAGAGTGATTTTTTTTAAAAGAAAGTATTAAAATAGGAGAAACAAAATGCAAAGATATAAGAAGGAAAAAATTAAATTAGGACAGAAATTAAATAAAAGACTAGAAAACTATAGAGAAAATAAGTGAAATAAAAATTTAGTTTTTTGATATGATCAATAAAATTGACAAAGCTATTAAGAAAATGGACTTAAATTACTGAAATAAAAAAATTAAAAGGGGGCGTTCATTCTAAGTCTGTGGGGAAAAGGCTGATGCACAGTTATATATCAACCAATTGGAGAGCCTACATGAAATGAACAAACTCTGAAAACACAATAACTACCTCAACTAAATCATGAGAAAATGGCCTAAATTCTAAATAACTATTAAGGAGATAGAAACAAAAATTAAAAATCTCCTGACAAAGTGAAGTCCAGATTCCAATGGCCGCCAGACCAACAGAACCAAACACTTAAAAACTTCATACCAATCCTCAAAATTTTCTGAAAAATTGAAGACATTACTTCCTAACTTAGTCCGTGAGACCAGCATCACCCTGATGCCACAGAAAGATGCTTCAAGAAAACTATAGCACAATATCCACCAAGAACATTGATGCCCAATTCCTCAACAGAGCCCAGCAAAGCACATCTGGTAGCAAATTAAAAGGGCAATCAAGGCCGGGCGGTGGTGGCGCACGCCTTTAATCCCAGCACTCGGGAGGCAGAGCCAGGCGGATCGCTGTGAGTTCGAGGCCAGCCTGGGCTACCAAGTGAGTTCCAGGAAAGGCGCAAAGCTACACAGAGAAACCCTGTCTTTAAAAACCAAAAAAAAAAAAAAAAAAAAAAAAAAAAAAGGGCAATCAATACATTATTCCTAGAGTGTAAGGATTTCCTAACCTGTGAAACTGACTGACAGAAAACATCGCCTTAACAGAATGAGGAAAAAAACAGCATGATCATCCCAAAGGAAGTAGAAAACGAATTTGGCAAAATTCAACTCACTTTCGCAACAAAAAGATTCTATGAACTAGCAACAGGAGAAAACCACTTCAACATAACAAAAGCCACAGATGGAAAAATCCACAGCATAAGGTTGAAAGCGCTTGCTCTTAGCTGTCCTAAAACAGACTCATTTTAAAATAATTCTGTTTAAACCAGTCCTGGAAGTTCTAGTCAGAGCAATTAGGCCGGAAATAGAAAAAGGGCAAAGGTGAAAGGGAGGAGGGACATGGCTACGCTCACACACTGTAGTTCTGGTTTGTGGCAAGCCTCGTAAAGCAGGTGTTCGGCCTCATAAACAAATTCAGCAACAGCAAGCCAAATCAGTTGCTATGGACAACCTGAAGAGGAAGTTACCAAAATGATTCAATTTTCAGTAACATCACAAAAGAACAAAAGACTTTGTGTACCAGGCTTTTTCTTTTGGGCCACCAACCAGCTCCCAAATCATGACAAGGAGACTTCTTATTGGCTATGAATGCTCAGCCTAGCTTAGGCTCGTTTCTGGCTAGCTCTTTTAACTTAAACTAACCTGTTTCTCTTTATTTACCTTTTGCCTCAGGCTTTTTACTTTTCTTTCCTTCTGTGTATCTTACTTTCCTGCTTCTTGTGTCTGTCTGTCTGGTGGCTGCCTGGTTTCTTGCCCCAGGTGTGATCTCCCTCATTCTTTCTTCTCGTTCTTCTTTCTCTTGTTCTTTTTATACCTCAATTTCTCCTTCTATTTATTCTCTCTTCCACCAGCCCCCACCTATCCCTCTCCTGCCTACCTATTGGCCATTCAGCTTTTTATTAGACCAATAAGGTGCCTTAGGCAGGCAAGGTGAAACAGCAACACATCTTTTCATAGTTAAACACACATCCTTACATTGTTAAACAAATGCAGCATAAACAAATGTAACACATCTTTACACAATTAAAGTAATATTCCACAGCATAAACAAATGTAACACATCTTTACTTAGTTAAATATTCCACCACAACTTTGTATAATAAAAACTATAAACTGTTGGGGGTCTGGAGAAATGGCTCAGTGGTTAAGAGAGCTTACTGCTCTTACAAAGGACCAAGTTCAGTTCCCAGTACCACAATCATCTGTAACTCTAGTTCTAATAAATCCAACGCCCTCTTCTGGCCTCCATGGGTACTGCACCCATGTGGCACACATGCATATGTGCAGGCACACAGTCATAAAGTCATATAGTCCGACCTCCAGTTCTGACACTTTTTCTGTTACGGGTCTGCTGTAAGGTAAGGGGCCTTGGCCACTGCTAAACCTTCCTTCCTCAGTGGACTGGGACACTTTGAAGCCATGAATCAAAATACATCTTTGCTACCATAAGCTGTTTGGATGGGTGTTCTGTCACAATGATACAAAAGTGAGTGGCACTCTAATGAGTCACATCTTCTGATTTTAACACTGTCACAAGGCTATGGTAATCAAACTAGTGTGTTATTAACATATATATGGATACAGGGACCCATGAATAGAAGAGAGACACTGGAAATAAACCCTTGAAACATGATCAAATCATTGTTGACAGGCACGCTAAGTCTATTGGAGAGCAAATGACAGCCCTTAAACAAATAGTCTAGAGAAAACTTGGCAGCCGCATGTGAGAGAAAGAAGCTGAACCCTTACCAACACAACATAAAAAAGTAACTCAAAATGAGCAAAAGCTTAAGCATAAGATTCACAACTGCAAAATTCTTACTAGAACACATAGCAGAAAATTCCCATGATACCGGAGTTGGCAACGATTTCTTGGCCATAACACCAAAGGCATAGACAATAAACGAAGGTGGGATAATTCAAACACTATCCGTTAAAAGATTACAAGATAATATCAACAAATTAAAAAGGCAACCCACAAAACAGGAGAAAATATTTGTAAATCATTAAGCCAATAAGGAATCAAAACACATCTTTGCTATCAGAAATCAGAATATTCTTTCAGATAACTCCTGAGGCTCAACAAGAAGAAAAAAATTCATTAAAAATGGACCCAGAGGGCTCTTCACAGAAATTCTACTCTAGGGACAGTATGAGCTGCTTGAGTATCAGGGCCTCTGTATCAGGGAGGGTAAAGTGAACCCAGCCACTGAAGTGGAAACCCACGGCTAACTGGGAATGTCTGACAAAGACGACAGGGAGTATGGTAGAGATGGGAGCCACACTTGCCCTTTGCACCCTGTGAGAGGGGTTGACTTCCCAGCCTGGAGCCAAAGAGAGGCCCATTTTTAATCATTCCAGTGTCTGTCCAGAAGAGGGGACACCAAAGTCTTTCTGGACACAGAAACATAAGATGGGGAGGTGAATTTTTCTAAGTGGCAAGAAACCAGAAAAGACCCACAAACATTGGCTGGTTATTTTTTTTTTTGGCATGTGGTATGTGTGTGTGTGTGTGTGTGTGTGTGTGTGTGTGTGTGTGTGTGTGTGTGTGTATAGCACCAGTGTGTGCACTTGTGAAGGCAAAAGACCAGCAGTGCGTGTCTTCCTATTGCCCTCCACCTTGTTATTTGAGACTCAGTCTTCACTGAATCCATGGAGTTCACCAGTTCCACCAGAGTGGGTGCCCGGTGATTTCCGGGAATCCCTGTCTCCACCCCTGCACTACTGGGATTACAGGTGTGCACCATGCCCAGTTTTTCCATGGGTTCTAGGGATCCGAATTCTGGTCCTCAAGCTTGTATGGCAAACACTTGTGTGGATAAGACGCCTTTCCCTGCTCTGTATGAGGACAGGGCACTCTGCCCTCCAACTAGGAAGATTCCCTTAAAGGGAGGGATTGCAGGATCCTCCCTGGCACTGTCCACAGGTTTTCCCAGGACAGGCGCTCCCCCAACATTGGTGACAGCTACTGTGATGCTTAGTGGAATTTCACTTAGCAGCTTCCACTGACTCTGTCACAGTAGGTTGTAAGAAGGCCACGTGTGGGTCGAAAATGCCTTGGCTATGAGAGCCCTCGAGTGCTAGGACCTGTCTTCATACTTTATCCCCAGAGAACAAGCACAGAGGTGACAGATGCTGCCCAGTGTCCTCACCTGGATAGATCCTGAAGAACCCAGTTGAACTGCCAAAATATTGCCAGGTCAGCGTAGGGTCTCTCTGGAAGTTCTCCACAAACACAGGGTTCAGGGCCTCGGACATATAGACTCCATTTAAAATGTCTGGGTCTGAAAGTGAGATCATGAAGGAACTTCAGGGAGAGTGACGTTAGATGCCCATGACTCAGCCTACACATGTAAACACGGGCAAGCTTTCCCTGCTTCCCTTAGGATTGCACCAGGCTCACATGCAGCCCATGCTCACTAACCCAGAACATCAGCTCTCTCCCAGCCCACGTGCTGAGGTTGGATGTGGTATGTGTGTGTGCTCCCAGAGTTTGTGTTTGGATGTGTGGTGCTCAGTAGAGTCATGTGACAAAGGATGGGGTATAGAGGGAGGTGACTGAACCATGGTGGGTGCTGCCCTAGGGCAGAGTTTTTAGAATTCTATGGACTCTGGTGAGTTCTCTTGAAAGGGCTTCTGTGGAAGAGAGAGACCTGCTTTCCCACTCTTTTCCTGCTTCCATGCATGGTTGCACCCCCTTGCACAGAACCCCAGCATGGCACCCTCTGCCACAGTGGAACGCAGCCAGGGACCTCACCAAAGCAGTGCAGTGCTGGCTGGACCCAGCTTCCCAAACCTTGAACTAGGGAAACCTCGCCTACATCATTCAGCTTCTGGTATTTTGTCATAGCAACAGAAAACAGAACACTCCATGCATGTATGGAATTATTTCTTTTCTCATCCTATCAAAGAGATTGGAGACACAGCTAATGCCCTGTAGGGCTTCTTGGAAAAATTGACACAGAATGTTTAAAGCCCTTCAGGATCCCCAGCCTACCCACTAGACTATCCAATGGTGAGGGCCCAGTCACCTTTGTTGTACACATTGGTAGGTAGCTGTACACTGCTCAGGGAGACGTTCACCCTCTGGTTGCTGAAGTGCGCATCAGACTCAAGAAGGAACTCGGCTCCCAGCTCCACATAGTTCCCCTTCTCGTCCTTCTCGTTGATTAGTACCGAGTTGTAGTAGTTAAACTGGGGAGAGAGGGGAACAGGTCCAGAGGAGACAGCGCAGGCGCAAAGAGGGAGAGGGAGTAAGAGAGAGAAGGAAAGGGGCAGAGAGGGAGGGGAGCAGGAAGCGTCAGAGGACCAAACATGAGGCCAGGCTGGGCCGGAAGGGTTGGTGGTGTCCAGTTGTGCTGCACTTGGCAGAAAATTCAGGCAAAGAAGGGGCGATGAGGTCACAACATCCATCAAGATAGCTGGGTCTGAGGGCTCACTGGCTGGGTGGGGTCCAATTGTCCCAGCCATCACTTTGATTCTCCACTTGGCTTAGTGTGGGTGGAAAGTCACAAGCCAGAGACAGATCGCGACTCACACAGCCAGATGGTTGCGAAAGACAGTATCAGCACATCAGTTTCTCCCAGGGGTGAGGGTCCTAGAGACCCAGATGGGTCAAAGAGCCTCTGTGGCCCTGCCCTGCCAATGGGCCTGTGTCCTGCTGTTTCCTCCCCCCACAGGGCAGGAAGGCTGTGATCCAAGGGAACTTAAACAGACCTACTTGCTTCCCTACTGCCTCCATGTCATAAACCTCATACCTTGATTCCCTCTAGAACTGTGGCCACAACACCCCTCCCAGCTCCATCTCGATGCCCTCTGGTCAGTATTAGCTTTATAAAGCTCAGATCCAGTTCTGTCCCTCCCTGACTCCAGCCCTCACACACAAGCTTGGGCCATCTTGGAAAAGGGATCCTAAGTTGAGAAAATGCCTCCATCAGACTGGCCCGGAGGCAAGTCTGTGAAGGCATTCCTTGATTAACGATTACTATGGGAGGGCCCAGTCCACTGTGGGCAGTGCCACCCTGGGAAGATGATGAATGGTTGTATAAGAAAGCACACGGAGCGAACCAGTAAGCACTTTTCCTCCATGGGTCTACTTCAGTTTCGCCTCCAGATCTCTGCCTTGATTTCCTACCTTGGCCTCCTCCAGTGATGGACTGTGATCGTGATATGTAAGTCTAATAAACCCTTCCTTTCCCAAGTTGCTTTTGGCTGTGGTGTTTACCACAGTAATGGGAAATAGCCATGACCCCTAGCATCCAAGATCTTGACCCTGGCCTCTCTCAGGTGATATCCCATCTAGCTGTCCCCTGGACACAGAGGGTTTGTATCCGCTGCATCTTCATGCGACCTGAGCTTTCTTCTTCCTGTGCCTCCTCTGATCTCTCAGCTCAGAGACACTTGTTTGTGCCTCAGTTTCTCAAGTCCCCTTCGGGGGGGCTTATCCCTGCTGAACCTCCCCTCTCCCATCTGCTTCCCAGTGCTTGCTGGCCCACCACACATGGTTACAGGATACCTTCTCTGAGAGCCTCAGGAGGCAGAGAGAAGACCTCGCTGGCAAAGCCAGGGCACAGCCTGGCACGGGGACAGGGCCTGCGTGGCTGCAGCTCTGCTCCACTCACAGCTGGTACTCCAGCTGCCATGGGGTTGGGGCAGAGCCAGCCAGCCTAGCATCCACTCCCAAGAGGACTTACCACCAGAGAGGCATTGAACTCATGATTCAGGTCAGCCTCCTCAGCAGCCTCCACCAAGCTCTGAGGGAGGGAGCAGGAAGGGAAAGGAGAGTCACCATCACTTGCCCTCTGCCACCCCAGCCCAAGCTCCCTGCTCTGCTCTCCCTCTTCAACCCTCTGCTTTCTTCTCTTGCCTTCTCAGCCAGGAGGACCCCCTGCCAGGGTTCCTAGGTGCTCTGAGGTACGCAGGTGACCTCGTCCCCAATTGTCTACAAGGCCTTGCTGAGAACAGGAGGTATCCCCTTCCTTGAGTGACATGCCTACCCTGACACCTGTGGTGACCTGGCTAATATAATACACTCTGCTGTCCACCCAGCCAGGAGAAGACCATCTACAATCAGTGGAGTCCCTGAAAGGGTCCGTAAGGGCAGTGGTACCTTGACAGCCTCGACTTTCCTCCTAAGCATGGTCTCCATGTCCTCTGAGAACTTCTTCACCAGCTCCAAGCCATCCACCTCTTTGATCTTCAGACTGGATTCTGCATCCTTGTACTTCTGGGCAGGACAAAGTGGAAGGAAGAATGCCCGAGTGCACCAGGGCCATTCTTTTCCTGAAACTGTACCAGCTCCTCTACAGTACCCACCCCATGACCTCCTAATCACAGTCTTAAGCTGCCTGTCTTCAAACGGCCTTCTGTTCAGGACTCCAGACCCATGGAAGTTATTGTCCTTAATGGGAGTTGACTGACACTGGGCAGATATTAAACTTGACACCAGTCAGAGCCAGTGAGCTGGCAGCTTGGACACGGGGAGAGATGGAGTACCAGCAGCCCTGGCCTTGCTCTGTGTAGTCTACAGCGTCCCTGACACCTGCTGTGAAGGCAGCTGAGAAGCAGTCTCAATGTCAGTTCACCTCTGCCCAGCCCCTGAGAACATCCTGTCCCATGTTGGGCTTGCATCCCACTGAGGGACCCAGCGCAGCAGTTCCAAGAGTGATGCCTGTGAGGCTAATGGAGCCTAGGAACTGGCTTCAGATTCCTGTCTGCCCAGGGACAATCCTCAATGAGTCACCGCTAACTCTTGACCAGCCCTGTAACCTGCTGGCCCTGTGAACTTAGCAAGGTACTCAGTGTCCTCCTCTGTAAGATGGGATGCATCTACAGTTTTGTTTGTTTGTTTCTGTGTAGTTTTGGTGCCTGTCCTGGATCTCGCTCTGTGGACCAGGCTGGCCTTGAACTCGCAGAGATCCGCCTGGCTCTGCCTCGTGAGTGCTGGGATTAAAGGCATTCGCCACCACTGCCCGGCCCTCATCTACAGCTTTTGACAGTGCTGTAGAATGCATATATTCTAGAGAATGCTTTCACCCACAAAGACTACACAATCCTTCCTTGTCTTCCTCCCCTGGGGCTGGAGGGTTCAAACAGGAAAAACAGATAAGCTGTTGTTCACAACAGAATAGGGTGTTGTGAGGGCTCCTGGAGTCTTAAGCCTGTGAGAGCCCCCAGGTCCACCCTGGCTCCTCCCACTTTCTGTAGCACAAAGGGGATGAGGGTGGGTGGCAGTGTGCTCTGGGCTGGCGTAAAAGCTGGGGATCCCATCCTTTGCAAGATGGAGAACATGACTCTTGGAGTTGTGCTAATTTGAATTAAAGCCTGCAATCATCTCTTGGGTGCTGGGGCTAACAGAAGGCTACATGGCCAGGGAGTCAGGTCCCAGGAAAGAATGCCAGCTCATGAGCGGGTTGAGCACAGGCCAGGCATAGATCTGTTCTTGGGCACTTAATTAACAAGGGCAGTTGGGTTGCCCTTCTGTCAGGCCCACTTCTGCTGGGAGCCAGGCATGGGCTCAGCTTGCCAGGGTGCATGGGATGCAGATCCCTGGGCACAGCCTGGGTTCTGGGGTTCTCTGGACCTGCTCTGCCTGTAGAGAGGAAATTGATACCTGCGGCTTACAGCTCACACTCCTGGGCTGTCTGCTGTCCCTTCTGCCCCCACCCCCATACTCTGATCTGCTTTTGGCTCCTTCCCAGGCATCCACACCAAGCTCCCATTACCCACCCAATAAACTCCTTAGGTCTAATCTGTTTCCCAAGATCTGAACTGACAGAATGCTCTTGACCTCACTCTGTCCACACTGACAGAATGCTCTTGACTTCACTCTGTCCACACTGGTGTGCTGTAGGATGAAGCCTCCCAGGGCCCCATCTGAATACAATAAGATTGACAGAGATGGTCTCTCAGACCCCTTACAGCTCTGATGCTGGGAATTCTATCTCCCTGTGGGAAGAGACCCTCTGACCATGCTGGAGCTCCCTGGGAGAGGCCCACTGACCTTCTGCAGCAAGAGAGAGCCTGAGTATCTGGTCACCGTGTTGTACAAATTCCTGCCGAAGGTATCGGCCCATAGCTTCACTCTGCAGGACAGGAAAGCCTATGTGTACGTTCTCATCATGATCGGATGTCAGATCCTTAAAGGTGACAGCCACATCATGTACATGCAAAGCAGGCATCTCACACATAGACATACTTGTAACACACACACACACACACACACACACACACACACACACACACATACACACACACATACACACATTCACACATTGACCAACACCCAGCATTCCTGTGATGGTTAGCTTTTGCCAACTTGACACAACCTAGAACCACCCAGGAAGACAGTCTCAGCGAGGGACTGTCTACATTGGGTTGGGCTGTGGGTGTGTCTGTTGGGGGACTGTCTTAATTAATTGATCTGGGAAGAGCCAGCCCACTGTGGATGGCACCACTCCCTAGGCACCAGTCCTGAACTGTGTAACACTAGAGAAATTGAGCAGAGCACAAGTGAGCAAGCAAGGAAGCATGCTTGCACTCGCTTCTCTGTTCTAAACTGTGGATGTGATGGAATGAACTGTTTTCAGTTTCTGCTACCTTGCCTTGCCAGCTATGGTGGACTGTAACCTGGAACTATAAACTCCCCCCTTTCTAACTTAAGTTGTTTTTGTCAGAGTGTTTATCACGGTGACAGAAAGTAAACTAGAACAGCTCCTATCCCCCCCAAATTGCAGCCTGGACAGCGTGAGAAACTGTGGCTGCTCCAGGGTGTGGTGCACACACTCTACCGGGCTTCAGAGGTCCACAGAGCTGATAGGCTCAGAGTGGACTCTAACCCCATGGTCTCAAGGACCTTTCAGTGAGAAAAGAAGGAGGAGGGAGAGTCTGTGGAGGTCTAGACCAGAGGGGAACACCCTGAACCAATTTGCAACTTCCCGAGCCAATCTGCACATTTCAATGGTCAATCCGTGACCACTTGAGTGTCTACTCAAGACCATGGGACACCGACCTGTTGAACCCTCAAACAGTGGGGCCAGGATAGAATGACTCCAAGTGCCTGTCTGGAGTAGGGCAGGCTAGGAGGGTAACCTGGTTGGGAACCTGACCCCTCCTTCCTTCCTAGAAGGTAGGCAGGCTCCCAGGTCTTGTTTGGGCTGTATAGCCAGAGCAAGTGTGGCTCCTTTAAGGTCAGCAGCATCCACTTGCACTGGCACTTACTGAGGTCTGACTGCATGTCACACTATCTCCACAGTAGCCATGGACTATTAGGGACATGACTTCCCATGGAGTAGAGTGGTACTCCTTTGCAGGGGGATGGCAATGATGGAGAGGGGCGAAGTGGAGGAGGCAGGATCAGAGTTCAGCATCTACAGTGAGATGGAGGTTAGCTTGGTGAGGAGATTCGGAAGAGAATTTTAGGTGGAGAGCTTGGAGGAGTGGAAAAGGACTTCAAGGCCTCCAGCTTGGCTTGTTGACCATTGCTGAGAATGTAAGGAAGGTGGCCTGAGTGAATCAAGGAGAGAGGAAGGTGATGCATTTTGAATGTTAGCCTCTTGACACAAGGCTAGTGAGTATCATCGGGTCGGTTGCACACTCCGTAACTTTAGGAGCCGCAGAAACACTGCACCCTTGACAAGCTCCTGTGATGCTCAGAAAGAAGTGTGCACAGACATTGAGTATGGGAGTCTGATAGGTAAGAGACTGGATGGAGCCATTAAGGACATGAGTAGGATTGAGACACTAAGGGCAAATGGACTCTTGGCAAGGAAAGTGTGTAGAATGGGTTAATCTGTGATGACAGGCTGCGGGACACCCATAGTTTCAGAGACCTGCAGATGGCAGAGAAATCACCCAGGAGCCCATGGGAAGCCAGTCACTGTGCTCCAGGAATCAAGGTGTGGGGTATCAAGAGAAAACAAGGTGTGGGGGGCTACAGCCGTTACCAGGAGGCTTTTGGCACCCTTGTGTAGAGTAGATGTGGAGGGCAAGTGGCTATGGCTGAGGAGGGATGAGTGGGAGGCACAACAGGACAGAGGTGGAGGACAGCAAGGGACCCAGTGAGGGAGGGAGAATGAGTGACAGAGCTCTGTCCTCCTGGGACAGGAAAGCAGCAGCAGGGCTTCATGGAGGTGGCTATCCCATGCTGCTCTCGAGGTTTCTGTGTGGATGGCCTCCCTGGATGCCAGCCATCTTTTTTTGCCCTGCTGCTCAGAAGGGCAAAGGAACCTGCCTTCTGAGATAGACTGCTCAGCTTCTGCAAGGCTACAGGGAATGTCTCAAAAGCCAGGCTGGCTCAGCAGCACGGATTTCAGCACTTTCTTCTGTGGGCCTGTGATATTTCCTCCCCCACTAAGAGACTGCCTGGGCTGAAGGCATCATTGGTACAGTGCTGAGCAGGGCAAGGAGGGGTCACCCAGTGTCACGGAAGTCCAATCTTCCCAAATCTCAAACACTGCTTGCATGGGTCTCTGTCCTGTCAGCTAGGCTCTAGCAGTTAGGCCCAGATGTGAACTGTGAAGAGTCAGTCTAGGATGCTTGGAATGTTCCAGACTAAAGAACAAACACCCAGAGAGATTGTATTAGATGTAAATGATGGGTGCCAATTCCTTCCAAACACCAGTCTCAATGGCTGGGTGTAGAACCAAAGCCTTAAAGGAGGTAGGGAGGTATAGAAAGAATGAGGCCATTGGAACCATCCTAGCTGAGTTCCTAGACAAGGTCCTGCTGTTCGTGGGCACCATCCTGCCTGTCCATTTACAGCAGCTTTACCTTTTCTCAGTGTCCAAGCACAGATCACCCAATGAGTCCTTAGGAGACATAATAGTCACTTCTAGAACCCCTGCAGCCCAAGCCCACCCTCTCTTGTAGTTAACTTCCCTGCTGGATACCTGCACCCTCATCAAACCCTGACATCAACCACACAAAGCCAGAAGGCAGGGGCAGGTAGACTCCAAAATCAGCAAGGATCTGAGGAGGACAGGAGTCAGGAAGGAAAGGGTCTCTCAGAGGCAGGGCAGTTGGCCAGAGGGAGAAGACCACCAGAAGGGTCTTCAGGGCAGGATCCAACTCAAGGCTCACGTTTCCAGAGGAATTCTGGTCTGGCCCCTCACAGCAGGTAGGGAGGTGTCCAACAGCAGCAGCCACAGGATGATTGTCATCTTCCTCAGGAAGGTCCAGACTGCTGGCCACTGTCCATAGTGGTCCCAGTTGTGGCTGGAGGGCAGAGCGGAACATCTTGGCATGGTGCTTCCACCGTGAATGGGGAAGGGGAAGACAGAGGCCCTGCTGTGAATGCACTTGCTGCCACTGGTCCCTGGGTGTGCAGGTGGTCTGACTGCTGGCTGGTCCCAAGTAGAAGGCTCTGCCTCCAGCTGCAGCTAGCACAGGGGCAGTCCCAGGTGATCAGGGGCTTTGCTGCTGGCTGTCCAGAGGGAGAGGCAGTGAGCAAGTACCCCCTCTAATCCACTGGCCTCTCCTCTAATCCCTTCTTGTTGCCAGAGGAGGGGTTGGTGCAGGAGTGGGGTGACCTCAGCAGGATTACCCTGATTCCAGCTCTGAGCCGCTGGGCCAGCTCACCCTTCTGCTCCAAAGAGGCCATCCTGTGTCCACAGAACAGCCTCTGAACTCGATGGAATGAGGATGCCCCACTCTAGTAGCTGAGTTTGTGCAGAGCTGGGCCCAGACCCTGAAGGACCCTCATTACCTGCTGAGCATTCCTAGGAGGGCGTGGCCAACCTACTGTGTGGGGTTAGGCTTTGTGGGCACTGAGAGGGAGAGAGGAAAAGAGGTAGTGTGGCTCATGTTTCCAGGCCCGGGGCTTTGGGGCCAGCCAATCAAGGCCAGCAAGCACAGGAAATACCTTAGCAACCTGGAGGTCCACTTGCCTGGGAACTTTCTAACAATGCACTTGGCAGCCTGGGACCTTAACCTCACATGCTGTGCACATACACCCCTCTGCAGACAATGCTACTCACTTGAGAGGTTTTTTGTTTTTTGTTTTGTTTTGCTTTTTTGTTTTTCCCGAGACAGGGTTTCTCTGTGTAGTTTTGGTGCCTGTCCTGGATCTTGCTCCATAGACCAGGTTGGCCTCGAACTCATGAACTCACATAGATATCTTCCTGGCTCTGCCTCCCGAGTGCTGGAATTAAAGGCATGTGCCACCACCACCCAGCTCACTCGAGAGTTTTGACCTGCTCTAAGGAAAAGACGAAAGTTCCCTATCCCCCACCCCCTTCCCGCTAGAAGTCACCACTCCACTTTCTGTCTGATTTTGACTGCCTCATTTTGTGAAATCATGTCCTTTTCATCCTTTATCACCGTCTTATCTTACTTAGCACAGTGTCCTTAGTGTACACATGTCATATGTGCCAAAACACTTTCTTTTCAAGGCTGTATTACTCCAACACAAATATATATGTTTTGCTTGTCTATTCAGCCCTCAATGGACATCTGGTCAACCACCACATTGGGCAAAATCCTGTTCCCTACTCCACCCCCAGATTACAGCCAGTCACTCTCTATGACCTAACCTTGGGGTTCTTCTGCTTGCCCCTCATGTGCACCTCTGGAGGTTCATTGACATGAACACCCCTTGGAGTCTAGTACCCTTTTCCATCCTTGAACCCACCAGCAGAAACCCACTGCAGGAACCTGGACAGCAATCTGACATGTAGTTGTCCTACCATGTAGTTGTCCCTCCACCCTGCAGCCTCAGAGCCCTGTGCTGGCCCTTGGGAGGGCACCTCCCTTTACTTCCCTGTCAGCTTCAGCTGGCGTCCTTTGGTCACTGTCATGCCTCTTCTGTCTTCCTTGCATCTGGCCTCCCCAAGAACTACTGTCAGTCAGCTGTGCTTGGGTTGTCTCATGAAGTCCCTGTACTTCCTGTGGCTCTTGTCTGACAGAGGGCCCCACCCCACATCATCCTGTATTTTAAAAACTCAGGGATTCTTTGAAAATGTAAGTCTTTGCTCTGCTCAGGGGGCCCTGTGGCTGTCCCTGATGTGAAGAGGTTTTTAACTACAGGTCACAAGGTCCAGTGCCCACTGGGTCTAGCTTCCTCCGCGCTTCGGTCTCCCTCCCTGCCCTGGCCCCTGCTGTTCCTTAGGCACATTGGGTGTGCTCTGCTTCAGGGCTGCCTCCGCCATGGAGTCTGTGGCCCCCTCCGGGGATCTGCCTGCAATGGTGCCTTCCCCTTCCCATGGCTGGCTCCCTCCCTCGGGTCAAGTGGCATTAAGCTGGGTCTTTCAGTTTGCTGTTACTGTGACAGCAGACTTGAATGGAACCTCTGGTTTCTGTCCATGGTCCTGGAGTCAGGATGCCCAGAAGCAGGATGCTGGAGTCTGGTGAGGTCTGTGCTGACTCTCTCACCACAGGAAGCCAAAGAGAGGTGGGGCTCACTCACTCATCACTCACACACACACACACACACACACACACACACACACACACACACACACACACACACACACACACACCACACACACACACACACACACACCATGGAATCCATTTTATGTTGGCTAGATAAATATTCCTGGGCATGGGGCTTGCCCTGGAGTGTGGTTAATACGGCCAGTGACACTCCATTGGAAAAAACCAGTTTTCCCATCTCAGCAGGTATCAATAGCAAACAGCCTCTTGGTTAGAGCTGGGGTTTTGTGTTCACAGCTTCTTTAGAGGATTTTTTCCTCCTCCAATGTGGGTGTATTTGCAGTGGTTTTACTAGTTGAATGTCTCTAGTCAGGGATTTAAAATTTGAAGTCTGAGATGATCTGGTCAGAGCCATCATTTCAGAGTCCCATTGCTTAGGTGAGACCATGCTGATTTATTTTTGTTTTTGAAACAAGATCTCATGCATCCCTGGATGGCTTTGAAGTCACTATGCAGCTAGAGGTGGCTGAGAACTCCCAATTCTCCTGCTTCTACCTCCTGAGTACAAATGAACACACACATATATGCATACACAGGCCTGCATACACACACATACACTAGTGTGCATGCACACAAGCACAGGAGCATACACGTGTATACAAACACAAAGATACATGCATTCACACACATTTACATGTAAACACTTATGTATGTACATACACATGCTCGAGCACATGTGAATATACACAAACATTTATACACATATTCATACACATGGACACATGTATGCACACTATATTAGTTACTTTTCTGTTGTTGTCATAGAACATCATGGCCAAGGTTACTGAAATAATGAAAATTCAATATCTCACCAGAAGGCTAGAGGCAGATGGTCCCAGAATTGGTTAATGCAGGTCAAAGGTGTTTCCAAGGACCCAAGTCCCTTGCGCTGTCACCATCTGTCATTCTTTGAATTTCGGATTGTCTAGATGCTGCCGTTGTTCCAGACACTGCACACACGATAGCATCTTGATGGAGGAGAGCGACTAATCTGTCTGTAGATCTCTTGTGTCTGGTAAACAAAACACTGCAAAACTGCCCAGTTTGAGAAATAAATAAAAGACTTCTGTTTATCTATCTTTGGGCAGACAGCATTCTCCACCCATGCTGGAGGCAGCAGTGAATAGGACAGCATGTCTAGGTTACAGCCATCACAGTTCCCTCCTGGATGGGGCTGAGGCCACACACCCCACCCCAAAGAGAACGTACCTACACAGGCAATGCCAGAGTATCGAGGGTGTGCTAGAATGGAAGCAGTGTGGGGAAGGACAGCTGCCTGCCACCCACCCATCAGGGTGCCCACAGTGTGTACACTAGGCCTTTTCTTTAGCTAGTGAGCGCCCCTTTCATAGGCCTTAGGGATATAGCCAGTGAAGCTCCAGGGACAGCCTAGACCTACTAAGTTCAACCTCCAAGGTGTGGGCATCCTGGCTTCTCAGGTGTCTTTGGTGCTGACCAATGGCTGGAAGCCAGTCTCCTGGCTTCTTACATGGGTTCAAAGTGTTCTGCCTAGTGTCAGGTACATTTAAGAGAAACACTGCAAAGGGCGAGGTAGGTGGTGGATTGTGGGAGCCTGAGCTTCTATATTAGGATGCCATCAATTGTAGAGACAAAGGTTTTAAATGCTTGTAGATTGGCTGGGTTGAGCATCCTCTTTCCACCTGTACAGTGGATTCATAAAAGGACACTGGTTTTTGGAGGCAAGGTCACAAGGGAAGCTGTATGTCTAGTGTGAAAGGGAGCAGGTACATGTGCATCGTAGAACACGATGGCAAGAAGTGGTTGATTAGAAACATGCATGGCAACAAGGACAGAAAGTAGCATTTGGTGGGAAAACAGAATCAAATTCATAGCACAACAGCACTGACAGAAATGAAAAATATAGGGAAAGATTTCTCATAGTGCAAAAATCTCTAATAGAAAAATTGTAACGTATTTCATTAAAATGCTGACCATGTGCACTATGTCAAGAAACGCTATTAAGAGAGTAAAGGTAGCCGGGCGGTGGTGGCGCACGCCTTTAATCCCAGCACTCGGGAGGCAGAGGCAGGCGGATCTCTGTGAGTTCGAGGCCAGCCTGGGCTACAGCGTGAGATCCAGGAAAGGCGCAAAGCTACACAGAGAAACCCTGTCTCAAAAAACAAAAAAAAAAAAAAAAAAAAAAAGAGAGTAAAGGTAAACAACAGATGGCAAGAAGGTGTTTCTGTCCTAGCCAACAATGATTCATGTGAGAGTTTATGAAGAATTATAACTAAGACGGAAAAGCAGATAGCCCATGGGGAAATGGGCAGATATGTTGGTCATGCTTTTCCCACAAGCTCATCTACAGTCATTCATCTGCAGCAGGCATACAGAGGGTGAGCCATGCTCTACCAGAGTGGCTGGAAGGGCAGACAATACCTTGCTGTGATGTGGATGTGTAGCCACTGGAGTTCATAGGTGGCCTAAGGAAAAGTCTTGGGGCTGGAGGACATCTACAACTCTACGTCCCCCAGCTCTACCCTTGGAATAAATAAACTGAGAGGGCCAACATGAGTTCTATATAAAAAGTGTTCATTGATTTACTCATAGACGTCAAAAGTCCAGGAAAACCTAAGGTTTATTGAGGTCCAACAATTCAAACATCCATACAACTGAATATTACGAAGCAAAGCACATAAACATGGTGATGAGTGAAGATGTCAGATAATAAAGTCTCATAATCACATTTATATGAACTTCAATAAAAGCATCGATGACATTAGGAGTCAGGCTGGTAGCAGTTCATGCTGGGAAGGTCCAGGAACTTACATATGTGTCCCTAAGTCCAGCTTGGAGGAACTTGTGC